ACGACGCTCTTCCGATCTCCCCAAAACCCCAAAACCCCAATATGCTAGCTATTAAAGATAAAGCGATTTGAAAATAATTAATTAAGAAAAAAGATTGAAAATAAAATATGACAGACCTAGGATTTATTGTGAAGATGGTCATCTACAAATGTAGAGAGCTAGGCAATCCAGTCACTGAGACTCTTGCTGCTTATGTTGCCTAAACTACTCTTAACAAAAGTAATTCTCAAATTTATTAACTTCGATCTAGGAACTGGAAAGTTCTATCTTGAAAGTACTATAACTGAAGACGAAGCCAAGAAACTTGTAAACAAAACAATCAAAAGGCTTCAGAAGATAGACTCGGCCTCATTGAGTAAGTTACATTAGATTTTTAAACTTATAGATACAATCAAACTTCAGATTGGATATGACTCAGCATATGTCAGATAGGAAGTTTAGAGACAGCAAAATATTACAAACCTCTCTCATGAATCAAATAGACTGATTGATGAAATTGTTAGCTTCGAGCCTAGAAGTGGTAACGACTTTGAAGGAATTACTCTACTTTACAAGAAAATATACAATTACTTGCTCTATAAGAATAAGCAACACATTATTGGAAATTATTCTTCGATTTAATTGACATCTGCTATTTCCAATACTATAGAAAGAGAAGTAGCTGCCGCTCTTGAGAGTGTTCTGCCAAGAGCAGGTCTTAGACCTTTCGTATCACTTACAACTCCTGAGAAAGTAGCTTAATTGTGTGAGTTATCAAATATTGTTATTGGCATCAGACTATTTAATAGAGACATTGGTAAAGGAGGAGTTGGTCTTGAATCATTTACTGAGATCATCAATCATAATGCAAGAAATCTTATTAATGAACTTAATCACGAAGTTGCTGAGATTATGGAACAATCAGATAAATATACTATGTATTTCAATGTGCTAGCTGAGCTACAAAACCCAGGTTCACCTTAATAAATTGAAGTCTACAAGGAGGAACTGACATACAAGAGATAATTCTTGATTTATATTCTCGAACTTAAGTCTGATGTTTAAATCTCTGAGTCAAATATTGAAAACTTGCAATAGAAATACCAAAAAGAAATCTCAGACCTTAAAAACCTTATTGGAAACAAGTCATCCATCCCTAAAGATCAAGTTTACCCTAAATTTGATTCACTTTCTTAAATCTATTCCTAGCTGCTAGAAGAAAAAAATCTAGCTATCCTCAGAAAAGAGCTATTTAAGGTTCTTCTAGAATTCAAGGATAAGATGACTAATCATCTACCAGAGAATCTTGTCAGAGAAAGCAAAGGACTTTATATGGAGAAAGCTAATAAGATGAGACAAATTGAGGAGCATATTGCCTAAAACATGGAATCTTCTCGGCTGGCTAATGATGTACTTAGACTAATGCCAAATTCAACTCCTGACTTTATGCACATTCCTTTAGATTTCCTAGGCTTCTGTTTAGTAAACATAGTTGAAAGTGGACTTCTTATGCCAGGAAAACCAAATCTTGGTGTCTTCAAATATAAGGAAAAATATTGTGTTTTTTCAGATGAGTTGACCATTGATAGATTTATCAACCATCCAGACAAATATCTCAATGATGTCGTTGAAAGATGCAGAAGAAAACCAGAGCTTATTCATTTGCTCAAGATGCAAGATCATTTCCCAGATGCATCTTTGTCAGCTCTTCTCTAAGGAAAGGATGGTCTTCATCCACTTTTCTCAATTTCAGCTCCTTTAATGGTGGATAAGGGTCTTGAAACTCCCACCCATTTCATCGAGAAACATATTGAGCCTAATTATTATTGGAACGAATGGGACTTAAGAAAGAAAGCTCTTTAGATGGCAAACATTAGAAAGAAGATTACAGTCAGTATTCAAACAGAACTATCTAACTTCAGAATCGATAACGAGACTCAAGTTTGGTTACCAAAGGAAGGAAGTACAAATACTGGCATTAATGCTTCAACAAATACTCAGCTGCCTAAGCAATATATAACTTCTCTCAGAGACAAGTCAATTTAATGATTAACACTATAATTTAAAGAAAAGTTTCAAATATTTTGAAGTGGGGTTTTGGGGTTTTGGGGTTTTGGGGAGATCGGAAGAGCACACGTCT